AAATGCGAACCAGTGGCTTGCTGTTAAACCTACGTCTTTCTGGATGAGCAAGATAGAGAAGAAATGGGGATGAAGCTGTGAAGTCTGAATTAGGCTGGCCTGGAAGTCAGCCACATGGTGGAGAGGGGAGATTTAGAGGAAGAGTAAGGCCCAAAGGGTTAGAACACAGATAAAGGAGAAAGTGGGCAGGCTGATGAACCTGCACAGTGGCAGGTCTTTAAGCAGTTGTGCTGGGGTGAGAGTTTGGGGGGAAAGCACATCATTTCACTAGTGGGGTAATGTATCCTGCCTGTCCCTTCAACATGTCATCCTAGGGCATAGCCAGGTGATGACATGCCTAACCAGAAGGCTGTACTCCACCTAGGCCACATTCCATTCTCTTGATCCGAAGGAAATAGTTTCCCTTTACTCCTACTATAACAATAGGTGATTTCAAGGCCTGTCAAGCTGACAATCAAAATTAACCCTCACATGGCTTAATCAACTAGCCCTCTAATGTCTAGTGTACCCCTAAAATTTACTCAGAGGACAATTTGCCAGATCAGTACCCCACCTTCCATACTGGATATATTCTGAAATATGCTTGAAGAGAAACTGCCCCTGAAAGGCAGCTTCTGGTTATTAAAGGAGAAAGGAGCCCTTTCCACTCTTGGAGAGGACAGTGATGTGATGTCGGCCCTGCCTTGTTAGGTGTGTGAAGAGCTGGAGCCAACTGGAATTTCCAGTTGCTAGACTATTCCTCATGCCTGAATAGCTGTTTGTTTTAGAGTTTGATTTCTCTTATTATCTTTTCTTATAAACAAACTCTCAAGGTCCCATTTATGCTACTATTGCCCCAGGATAAAACACACACACACACACACACACACACACACACATGCACATGGCCTGATGTTCTGTCCCCACAATCAGGGAAGCCTCTGAAACTCCTTTGAAAATTGATTTTGAGAAAAAAAAAAGAACTTTCATAAAGCATATTGCTTCTCCATCTTTTCCCTAACCACCTTCACCAGGACACTCATACCATAAGCATTCCTTTTCAAGAACTATATATCTGGAAGTAAAGTGAATACATCAGTGGGTTAATGGGTGAGTTAAAATGAACTGACCAATCAAACAGCAGCTGCAGTGAAGGACAGCTGAATTCCCAAAAGGGAAAGAAAAGTGTGTGTGTGTGTGTGTGTGTGTGTGTGTGTGTGTGTGTGTGTGTAAGTTTATTGGGAATAATGCCTTTTTCCTTTTTTA